GGTTTTAGACATCATTCCCATCAGCTGAGATAATTTTATTCACAAGCTTAATAGCTGAGATTGATGGGGCTTGCAGACACTACACCCCAGCAAACACGAACTATCAGACGGGTTAAACAAATCCAATCTTACCCTTTTATATAAACCACTTATTAATAAATGAAAACCAAGGTCAAGGTTGAATTAATTACGCTGACCATCCATTTTAAAGAGCAACTTGCAGGTTAATTTCTTTTACTGAAAAAATGAATACAGGAGTTTGTTTTACAACAGCCATTCTCAACCAGTGCACCGCAGTCCAATTATTATAAATCAAGGCAAAGTCAGATCAGTCCTATAATTCATATTTATATTATCCTCAGCCAAAGAGATACTGCTAAGGTAGATTTTGATGAAATCTCTTTTCCCTGTTTACTTATGCTTATTTTGCTCGGGTGAAAAAATGATGGTCTCTGTGTATTTTGATGTAGAGCCAGTTGATCATTAAAACATCTTCTATCAATAAAATATCGAGGATTGTACTGCTTTATACTCTCTGAGGGCTTTATAGTTTTAATGGGTCAACTGGTATTTTGTTCTTTTGACCATATACATTTGTTACATGCACATACTAAGTTGGGTTAAATTTCTTATGTTTTGTATTGAATGTGCCTTACTGTCTTGACTGCAATTCATAAATATAAGAACACATTCATTGTTTGCATTTATATAGGACATGTTTGTTATCAGTCTTGCTGCTGAAGCATGCACGGCTAACCGATATTAATACCCTCTTCTTCTGGACACACAACACATGCTTCCTAATGTGCTTACCCAGAATGCCTTAGGCCCAGCAAACAACCTGTCTGTAAGCTGTATAGCTATGCTGCCTGTGGATAGGGACACAATATCCACAGTTACTCATTTCTGTCATTATTTTGTCATAAATATAAGCAAGTAGGATATAAATATAAGTCAGTGGTGTGTCATTTGCACAAAATTTACAACCTCAAGTGTGAAAACCAGCATTGAGTTCCATTCATTTCTTATTGTTAAACTTTACCGCTCTACCTATCTACCTACCTTATGTTATGTCAGTACCGGTTCTCTTACAAGTTGCTGTAGTGTGTATATTTGTATACGTATACATTTTTGAAAAAAATCTAGTTTCTACATAATTTCTCTACACAATGACTCATTGGGGTCTGCAGCCTGTAAGTTGCTCTTTAGGCATCCATTAGATATTACAGAGCTAGTTTCTGGTACCACTGTGACCTACTGTATTTCACTAATTGTTTGAGCATGCAATTCTCCAATGCTATTTATCAATATAACAGATACATGGCCTGTCTTGTTGTTCTGTGCCCATGGACTCAATTGGAAAGATGATTTGAGTCCACTGTGGCCCGCACCAGTAAAAGGATACAACACCGGACGGGCCAACTAATAAAATAAAATCCTCTTGAAAAAAAAAAAGATTTTTTATTAAATGAAAAAATGGCTGCATAAAATTGTTGTTGTTGTCAGTAAACTAAAGCGGGAAGCATACATTTACTGACAATTTTGGATCTAACATTACTTGCACCCAGTGGACCTTTGACTTTCTTTTCTTTTGAAACTGTGTGTCTGGTCATTCAATCAGCAAAGTGGCTCAGCCATGAATACATTACCTTTGTCCAGACCTGTGACACATTAACCTTGACAACACTACCGAAACAGAATGTTATCTGTTGACCAGGTCACATCTGAAAGTGATGCCCTTCTCTGCCATGCTGTGAATAATTCATGCGAGGCGGGGTGAGGAAAGCGAGCAGAGGCTGGGCAACTTCAGTGCCAATCCATAGGCAAAGTGTACATATAGCACTCTCATCCTTACAGCTATTGATTATGTGCCACGTTAGCCGGCAGCTTGGCAATAGATTACAAACAAAATAGACAACAAGACGGCCTGAGTGTCCACACTTGTTAACTGTAGAAGGGGGGGTGTTGGAAGCGAGGCGAGCTGATGGAATGAAAGACCTTCGCAGTAAGGAAATAAACACAGCCTTCTCATTCATATGTAATACCTGGATTTCTGGGAATAATAGCTTAATCAGCCCCGTCTTTCAGTGTGCGGGAAATGAGGAAATTTGGTGATGTGCAGAATGACAGACCCTTATATAGAGGATTTGTCTGTTACACCTTAATCCATTAGGAAAGTCTTCTGCCTCAACTGTAGTAAAGCCGATTTGGAGCCTGCCGATAGCATCAGTGGCCATCAGGGGAGGTGGCAGCTCTCAGAGAGGAACAGCTCTGCTGATACGCAAATATTCTGCTAGCATGTGCCCCACTGATGTTCTGAGGATTATTTCTAAACTCTAGAAACTTGAAATTTGATGGACAATTAATATATACTTTAACTTAAAGATGCAAATTTCAAGAGAAATTCCATTTTCAGGTTTGGATTTCTTCAGAGGCAACATGTCTTCCCTCAAATGGACTAAGGTAAAGCCTCATTGAGTACAAGTTCAACTGAATAAAATGTGTTAAGTAAAGACTGCTGTGCGAGGACTTTGCATATGTGCACTACATCATGTCTCAAGTAATTGCAGAAAGATTAACATTTGTGAAAATCCTTGTCACGTGCTGTGTTAGGTCCATGCATAATGAATTTGCGATGACTGCTTAGGCCCTGCTAGAACGGGTGTGATGACAGTTTTCTGTCCCTGAATATGTCAACACTTCAGACATTTCCATCATTAACCTCCTGTGCTCATAACATTTAATGATTTTCCATATTTTTATTTATTAACATCTTGAATACTAATGCCAATGATTCTATCTATAACCTTGTTTTTATGGCCTCACACTGTATAATCAGTGAAATCAAGGTCAGGCTTCCAGACCAGTACTTATCCAATTTTATACTAATTAATTAACTATGAGTATATTCATTATCGATTCACGTTTTGTTCTAGTTATCAAGGTGAAAGTCAAGGTTTTGACAGGGGTTTGTCCCTTATGACTAGGGTCATTTGAAACATGATTGAAATTGAAATATAGCCAAGTGCAATATCCAAAGAGCAGAAGCTGTACTTTTTTGATAAAAAGGTAAAATGTGTGACGAACCGCATTATAATGAAGAACAATAAATAAAATAAATAAACAATGTTCTCCAGATGTAAGAAAACATGTTTTAGAACCCAACAAATGTTACATTATCATTATTTAAATAGTTTCTTCAGTGAAACAAAAAATTTGGATGCAAGAATGATCCCTCCTATTAACTGTGAATCATATTGCAACCATGATATCTGTCAAAATAATCCCAATATAACTTTCTTTAGATTTTGCAGCCCTTCTTATGACTAGAAACTAAATTTAGGGTGAATTGTAAGATTGAGTCTACTACAACTTGAGCCATGTATTTTTAATCCCATATTTGTTTACATTTTGGCAATTTGGCCATTAAAAGTATGCTAAATCAGCTATTAGCTGTTCCTGTACAGAATAAATGTCACTGGATAACTAGAAAACTTAATGATGCTCAGGCATGTTCTGGAGTTATGAGGACCATATTTTTTTCTATGACTGCTAAGCAGATTTAGCAGAGATAATGATATCCTCGGTGTGTGTATGACACACTGAATTTAAAAATATGTATGTCATGTCTGTGTGTTTAGATTTGACTGGGTTATGAGTCCAAGAGGGAGGACTAATTTTGACGCAAATTGACAGCTCTACGTCTCCCCCTCCACTCTGTCCACTCCACTAAATATCACTAAAATATCACTGTATACTGTAGCATTGAGAGTTCCCTTCATTGAGGTCTAGCCCAAACCATAAAAAACTGCCCCAGGACCAGGGGTACACAAGATTACTGTATGTCTACTGGGTTTACAGCAGCAGGTTTGTTCCAGGTGAACCACATACATTTTGTCCTTGAGTGGAAAAGGCCAAAACACATATTGTTGTAAAAGATCTCTTGCCAGGTTTGGCTGCCACCTTCTCCTGGCCGCACATTTGTATTTAATATATGTAATTACAAGCGCTGTGTGCTCCTAATAAGCAAGGAGAGCCAAGTGGCACAATGACAAAGCAAACTGGGCTAATCCCTGTCACACTGTTCTGATTTCTTTCCCCAGCCTGCTTTCTTCCAGGTTCGGTGAGCCTTTCCTAGCGTGCAAAATCTTAAAGTGATTTACACTCTGCTGCGTCTCCCTGCCATAACATCCTACCTTATCAACAATGCTAACATGGCAACCTGCGCAATCTTTTCGTTTGAAATTACAAGGAGTGTGATTAGAATGACTCCTAGACATCCTGGAGCCTCTCTCTCTCTTTTTTTTTTTTTTTGCTGACTCTTAGCACTCAAACTGGAAAATGTGCCCAGGATGCAGGAGTGAAAATGCTGTGAATGGACAATCATAGCTGTGGTGCTGCTGCACAATGCAAATTAATTCACCAGTCAGTGAAATTCAGACCAGTGCAGAGGAGATGCTACATTTGTGATGAGAGGATAAGCTCACTTCATGTTTTGCTCTTCTAATTTAGGACAAGGTGGCACTGGGTCTATTTTTAATCCTCGTCCAAAAATGTTAAAGTCACAGTTGAGTCCTTGAGTGCAAAAAGTATCTACGGGCGCAGGAGAACAAATGGAAAACATACTCTGTCCTTGATCATTCAATGCTTAAAGTTTTCCCTGGCAGTTATTTGTTCAACACCATTATAGAGGTCTGGTTATTTCATTTACCAAACTGACAGTCACAGCTGAGACCATCTCACTGTGTAATAACAAAAACACATTTCCTGCTTTTTCTCTGCTTACAATATAGATGAACCTCTGCTTCTAATGGTGTTGGTTTGATTACAATGTCTACTGCAGCAGTGAGCCTGATTAATACAGGTATTATACAAAACACATCACCAGGACAACAGGAGAAACGGAGTCGGGGGTGAAACGGGTCGAGAGGCAGGAAGACGGTAAATAGCAAACAGAGGAAGAGGGAGGCTGAGGGGTGAAATAAGGTGTGTTGTTGTACCTGGCTGCAGGGAGGAGGTTGAGGAGCAGGAGGAAGATCCACAAGCCCAGGTCCAGTGATTTAGCCTTCCAAAGTGCAGCAGCCATGTCAGATTAAACAATAGACTCCTGAAACGACAGAGGATGGAGAAGGAGATTATGTCACGGTGAAGCTGCAGTAGTAACAGACTGGCACACAGCTCAAAATGACTTGAGAGAATGTAGAAATGTTTATAGCCTAACAGGTAAATGCAGAAGTGACGTCAAATGATCAACAAATAATCATCCATTTAAGCCCCAATTATACAACCGCGTCCCGCTCAACCCGCCAACTCCTGACTGGTTTATATTTTTAAATGATTGATGATACTCTGACATTTATATACCTAGCAGCATGTAGCTAACAGCATCATATTGTGAGACCGTTTTATTAAGTGACATAAATCAAAATGTGATTGAAAAGTTTATGAGAAGGGGGGGGCTGTGTTACTAATATGATCTCTACTCAGCACCGTCGTGCCTTTTTCTTCCAATAAAGAAAGTTGCAGGGAGACATAGAGCCGATCCATAGCTCTGACCCCAGTACGGGCAGCCCCCTACTCAATGCATAGACCACGTCAAGAAAATCCACATCTCTTTCTGGTGACGGTGCGGGTTGCTTCACCCAAACAGAGGACAGAGAGAGAGAGGAGCGTGCACGTGTCCCCATGGAGTGCCAGTGTAATGGCTCACGCACAGGACAACTGTCACGGATGGCGGAGAGAGAGAGGTCGACCCAGAGTAATCATGAGGATAAAGCGCTGAGGTCATTCGAAGGCAGCTGTAGTACAGAATTGCCCCTGACATTATGCATGAATGAAGAGATCAAAAATTTCCCCCCGCTTTCATGCTGCATTCTGTTAACAGGTCGACAGGCACTGCCATCAACAAACAGCGGGCCTCATGCAAGTATGCTAAATAATTAACCGTCAAGTCCCCCTGCATCGACTTATCAAAACATACTGGAGTGAGAGATACATGCTAAAATTCTTACATCGATCGTCAGCTGTATTTTGGCCCCTGCAATCCACAAATATAATTTTGAATTATGTGACTGCTGTTGGCTGGGTTGTATAGTTTTTGTGCCAAACGTGCCTGTCGCCACGAGTCGTATCACCCTCGTTTTTTGTTGACCGTTTAAAAAAGACCCGTGCCTTCAAGATGTTGCTGAGAGCTCTGATTCAAGGTCGTAATCTGTTGGATGAAGGCATGTATCACTCTCCGCATATCACCAAATCACCTTGTGCATAAAACAAGAGCCCACACAGCTGTTCTCCTCTCTCCTGCATATCAGTGAGCAGTAGACTTAAACCATTTTCAGACAATAATTAGCTTGGGTAATGGTATTTTCCGGTGCGCTGTTTGGCACACCTGTCTGGAAGTCCTCTCTCAGTTTCTGGCTGCTGATCCAAAACACACCTGGTTAACGTGCCTGGTTATGCGACTCAGAATCTCTTAATTGGTCTATTTGTGATGAAGAGTCAAACAACTAATCTCGCATCAGGCACAACATCAGAGGTATAGCCCCCTTCCTCACACCAATATTTTTTGTACAGTCTTACCTATACCTATAACTATTACCATCACAGATCTGGACCTAAATAATTAAGTCTAACTCAAACTGAATACATTAAATATGAAATAACCCAGCTACACATCTCTAGATTAATTTAAACTGCATATATGTACTGTTGCATTCATTGTGGGTGCTTTTGTCGGCGCTCACACCCACAGGACCCTGGGTAATCATGAGACGTGACGCAGTTTACAAGCTCCAAGACTTTGGTCAAACTGTGTACTACTCAAACACTACCAGGATAACACATCACATAAAACCTTGGAACAAACACATTATACAGCATTACAGTCTCCTCCTTATATCGCCACTCTCTAGATGTTGCATAGCGACTGCTCTGCTAAAACTGTAATTATTGGTCATTATTACGACAAGGTTGCAGCCTGGCAATTTACAGAAAGATTAAATGACCTCTCATTAAAAATACATGCGCTCAGAAATTACCGTGCCTGCCATTGAACGGAGCCTAAAAATCACCAGGAAGATGAGGGAAAGGAAGCCAAACGTCTGCAAATGACTGAGGTACTTCAGTTACACAGCCACTCCAGCATACACACGTGTAGCAGCTGTGTCGTATTTAAAAGGCTTTCATTGTGCTTTTGTGAGATTCAGCCCCCTTTTATTGTTGCCGTACAGAGAGAAGATCAAACGCTTTCCCGGGGGGGGGATCAGTGTTCTCTGTGTTACTGTAGAGCACTGATCATTACAAGAGAAGTAAACAAATGAATGGATGTAAAGATACACTTCAGGTTAGTGCTCAAATAAGAAGCTGCATTAATAATGCTACAACCTGTGACCATACTTCTACACTACGCTTGTGATGGGTCTGAGGTGAAGCCACTTTAAAGGAGCTGTCTCTGCATTGATTGTAGCTGAGCGCCAAGTTGAGTCAAGATCCACATCCAGTAAGTCTTTATACTGGCAGGGACGCTTGCGAGCCAAAGAACTCTGAATAACCAGCCAGTTATTTTAAAATTTCTTAGATTTGTGAGGAATTAACATGCCTGATTTCTTGGCAGTTTGTGACCCAAACTATGAGATATTTTTAGGTATAAATTTTATTTTAACAAATCATGTGATTGTGCTTGTGGCCTTTTGGATCAACACAAGCCATTGTGCACCAGATTAAACAGCTACCGACTGCTGCATGCTCTGTAAAACTGCAATGAACAATGGTTTGAAGAGGAGGAAATAAAGCTCAGAAAGCCACAAGGACAAAATGATCTGATTTGACAATAACCTGAAATCAAGAATTGAAAAAATAATGTTTCTCTTGCTCCTACTGGAGAAGTGGCCACTGGGTATTGTGTGCACTCACAGACAAACCAGGATTATAGAAAATGTAATTCAGAAATTATTTATTCTCTGTTCAGCTTCTTTGTTTTATTAATGTATTAAACATGTTGACAATTTCAATCAATGCAACTAGAGAGGATTTGACAAGAATCAATACACACTGACATTCTGCTTCATAAACACAAGAGCCATGAGGTGTTATTGATGCAAAGTTATTTACAGTCATCATTATTAACCTGTAACTGTGTGTCCTTGTTGCCATAAATAAAGCCTCCATCCATCTACTTTCTATCATCCCTCTTTGGCTGGAAAATATGACACTGGGTTACTTCTGTAACATGAGACAGAAATCATGACGATCCCAGTGAGTAAAATGTGTGATCTGAATGCTTCTCAAGCAAACAAGTGAGCCTGAATACGAGAGTATCCGAGTTATTTTACATGCATTCACTCAAAAGTGAGTTACTTGAGTAGCCACTTTGGGAAAAAAAATTTGAATATAGCCAATTAAACACAGTACGGCTCATGCAAATGAGCTGAAATGTTATTTTTCATAATTTCCGCCCTCATCTCGCTTTCAGCAAATGTCAAGCTCAAGGGCAGGCCAGGTCCCAGACAGTGTCAAATTAAACCGATCTCGTGTTGCTTGACAAATGCTAGTTAAAAAGAAAACTGCAGGCAGCTGATTTCCTACTTTTTTGACACATCATATTAGCCATCATTGTTTTCCACCTCTCCCTCTTTCCTTTCCTTTCTCTCTGTACATTTTGCAAACCGAGTTTATGTTAAAACTAATTCTGGATCGTTATCCATTAAAGATTTTATGTTCCCCATAAAAACTACAGGATGCCCTCTGGAGTCAGAGGTATCATTTCCTTGTCTTATAATGTCTGTCTGAAAATTGCAATGCTAATTTCCTGACATATATTGCCACCTATTGAAGTCACTTCCACTCACTGGGGATCATCTTTGCGTATGTGTCATCTTTAACACTCTAAATGTCCCGGATGAATAAATCTTTTGAAAATACATTGATTTCTCTATGCCTTGAGGTTCAGTCATAACCCAGTGTAGTTTCATCACTGAGGGTCATTATAGTTTGTAGCAGTTGAAAGGGAGGATGAGTTCTCATTAAAGAGACAAAGAACAGATACTGGTAACTCTAATAATGTGCTCAGTAAACAAAAAGAGTAAAGATAAAAACAGTAAAGATTTAATTATTCTCATTAGTCAGTCCATAAACTCCATCATCTATCACATTTCCTATAGGATCTCTGTTCTATTTATTCCGTTCATGTCTCCTCAACACAACACCAATTAGAGCTGCAGTGAAAAATCTGCTAGACAGCAACTCTTACAAGTGTCAACAAAACCTTTCTATAAGAATGAGACAAACCAGCATTAAAAGACTGGCTGCTGGCCGCTGTCTACAATTCTGCTCCCGATTTACCAATACCTGTCATGCAGATGAGGGGCTCAGCGGTCCCTGGGGCTCAGATCGTGCTTGAAACAGAGAATATGAAGGAAGGAAGGGAAAAAAGACATGGTGCTTTTGTTGGCAAATTAAAAATAGCTTGCCTAAGGTGACAGTAGAGCTAAAGCACTCAACGTTTCCCAGCCTTTTAACATTTGTTTTCAATTCTACTGTCAGTTTTTTTTTTTTTTTTCTTCAGGAAAAAAAGCATATGCAATGAGTTAAGTAATCACATTTGACAGAATTAAAAGGCTATAAATGCCTCTAATGCAAATTAGCTGAGTAATCTGACTGGACGACTATGCAGAGTGATTTGTTGAACAATAAAGATAATCAGTGGTAAAATAAGAAGTGGCAGGGCCTAGTTTCCTCCTAGAAGAATGTCAGTCGGGGACAATTTGGTCTTTCATTTATTTTTATAGTCTGGCTGTCATGACCTAAAGGAAACTGAAATATTCAAAAGTTCATGTTGTGTTTTCTATGCAAAGAAATACCCCCTGGTGCAGTTGGTGCACAGGATGTCAAAGAACAGCTAACATTAAAAACAAAAAGAACCCTCATCAGCCAATAAACACTGTCGACTGCAGTAATTGTTGAATTTAGGACACAGCTCTATAGCCATGTAATCCAAGTGGCTGTTCAACTAAAAATAGCCTTAAATCCTGTCACATTTGGTTTGATGTGACGGTCATGCACTGAGCATCTACCAGTGATCTTTGTGGTCTATAATTTAACTACATACCT